CCCCAAAACCCCAAAACCCCAAAACCCCATATGAGTAAATACTTTGAATAGTTTGTGAAAGAAAATGCATATATTTTATAGTTTGATTTATTAACTTATACAGCAGAAGTAGTCTTGATTTATTGCGAACTACTCGCTAAGAATTCATATTTAGGGTTAACCATTAGCTTGTTAATGAGAATTTTATGATGTTCAGCAAAGCCCCAGAAACCTCTTTGAAGTTATTCTGCCCATTCTTTTCTTTTCGTATTGATTTATTGCCATTGCTTTGTGATAAAAAGGCTGTTTGACAAAGCTATATGCAGTAATGTTTTCATCAGGTGGTCTTTCAATGATATCTTCTCTTTTCATGACAGTAGGCACATTCATGAAAAATCCAAGCCTCAATGATAAAGCTTAGATTATAAGGAGCGAGAAGAAATGTAAGAACATGGCAGCCATAGTCCTCCAGAACTAGACATTCATCCATTCATATGAAATGCGACCATTTACCAGCACCAATCCATTATTAAGTTTAATTGACTTCAAGAAACTTAACTCATTAAAAGTTGAACCTCCCTCGCATTAACCTAAAGAGAAAACAATGAATTAATAAACTTTCTAAATATAGATATATTGAAGCCATCATCTTCATTATCAGTTGAGAATAGTTAGAATCACTTACCAATCGAGTAACAAGCCAACTGCATAATGTACTCTCTTAGATAAAGATAATCCAGTCCTAAAATTACTACAGCGTGCAATAAGAAACCCTGAATTTAAGATTATTCAGTATGAAAATATTACGATTGCACGAATTAAGTAATGTTCACTGGCGAAGTAAGTAAAAATTGCAGAAGCACAAATTACGTTTAGCCTTAGAAATTCATTATCAAACTTTCCAAATGCCAAAATAGGTATGCAGTCAATCAAGATAATCAGAACAGCAAGAACTTTGCAAGCCATTGTCATCCTATAACAAATATTTACTAATTGCTAAGAATTTTGGAAATTTTATAAGAACAATTCATAGTAAGATTTTCACTTATAAATGGAATCGCTAATGAATTCTTCAATATTAATTGAAGTAGAATAACTCGGAGATCTTAATTTAGAAAATAGTCTTATTTGAAACTTACTGTATTGCGAGATTTCTTTTCCTTAGTCTAGCAGGAGATTTTTTAAATAGCAGCATGTATGTCAAATAGTAGAGTACAAAAGCAAACACAGGAGGAAGCAGGAAGGTAATCTCTTTGCATTTATAGATAAAATCATAATAAAAATCAGCTCCCATCGTTCTTCAATCTATAATATTTTAATATATATAACTAATTGTGATTAATCAAAGCCATCACATTCATAGACAAAGTTTTAATTTTCGGGGTTTTGGGGTTTTGGGGGG